AGGTTTGCTCTTTACTCCTCCTGACTCCTCCAACAAGGAGTCAAAATGACGCCACATTGAAAGTGGGAGGGAGACTTTCTCTTTTTCTTCCCCAGTGGGTGGAAATCACACAAAATCAGTACATACTAGATTTAATAAGAGAGGGTGTTCGGTTGGAGTTTCAGGCTCTCCCTCCACAAACTTTTTTCCTTACGCCTCGGCCAAAAGATCGCTTAAAGGCAGTGGCATTATGGGCATGTGTCCAAAATCTTGTGTCCCAGGACGTTGTTGTCCCGGTTCCAGAGGATCAAATATTTCAGGGGTTCTACTCCCATATTTTTCAAAGTTATTTGGTTTATTCGAGAAGCAGCGGTTGTGAGTGGCTATGACAGCTGCTGTTAATTTGTGGAACAATAGTGAAGAGCTTTGGAAAGAGTGATAAGTAACTCACTTTTGGGTATGCAAGGATCCGAAAAGGGGGGGGCTTTAAAAAAAAAACCAGGGCTGCGGAAATTAACGATCCCTCGATTTAATCGTTAATTTTTTTTGATTGATCAAAATTCTTTTGATCGGTACTCACCTCCGCCGGCTTCCGGGTCTTCCGAGAGTTCCGTCAGAGATCCGGTGATGTCACCGGACTCCTCCCTTTCCCCAAGTGGCTCCATCGGCTAACGAAGGGAAGGGGGGGGGAGTCCGGTGACATCAATGTCCGTGACGTCACCGGACTCCTCCTTCCCTTCGTTAGCCAAGGAGTTCCGCCTGTTCGGGGGGGCCCTGAGAGGAAGCAGAGCCGCTATGCCACCCGTAGCAGTAGAATGTACGGGCAGCTGTGCGGGGAGAGGAGGCTGTCTCGGTCACCTGTCTCGGTCACCTGTCTCTTGGGAGAGGACCCTCTGGCCGCCGAGATGAAGCAGCTGCTGCAGGAGTCAGTTAAGGCTGGGCGAAGGCTAGATGGGAAAGGGGGGGGTTTAAACTGGTGGGGGGGGGGGTTTAAACTGGGGGTATTCTAATTTACATTATAATGTATTGCTTAGACTTGTAGTCCTGTATAGCTGGTGGTGTTCTGCATTGATGTATAATGATTATACAGCAATGCTGAATACCGCCAACTATGCAGGACTGCAAGTCCCAGCAATACATTATATTAAGTAGGGATGCACCTGTGCCAATACTGGGCATTTTCACAAGCACTCGTACTCGTGAAAATGACCCAATACTAAATGCAGATACCGGCACTGGCGAAACTACCAGGGCTGCATCAGTCGCATTTGCGACCGGGCCCTGGTGTTCCGCCAGTTTGGGGGGCCCAGAGAGACCAGAACACTGACATTGATTTGCCATGTGTTCCGGAAATCACACTGCGGCCGGAGGGCATACCTGCGTTGCCATTGACTTTAATGCAACAACACGCCCCCTCCCGCCCCAGAATGCAGTGAGGCGGCCGAGATGCAATCCCAGTGTGTTCCAGCACGAAACGGGCGAACGCAGTGGAACTGGTGTGAACTAGCCCTGAAAGTCATAACATACATAGAGGGCAACCAATCAGCATCTACCTTTTTTATTTTTAAACCTTAACTGAACAAACTGAAGAGACGCTGATTGCTTGTCATAGGCAACTGCTCCAGATACTTTTGCTTCAGTTTTGATAAATTCCTCTCATACTGTGTGTGTGTGTGTAGGCCAATGTAGTTGGATCTGTATGTGCATTATAATTAATCGATTTAAAAAAATTTTGATTAATCGAACATGAAAATTTTAATCATTACCAGCCCTAAAACAAAACACTTTAGCTCTCTCAATAAAAATTGTAGAAAATAATGTATTAATATCCATACATCAAAGGATTTTATTAAAAAACACAGTTGAAGGATTGGTTGGATAAATGATGTTTATAATGGATTGGATAAATGCATTGGTTCTTCTAAGTACCCCAACATGTTTTGCCCGATGGAGCTTCCTCAGGGGGATAAATTAGCCGTGGACTAGTCTGCCAATCGGCCAGCCAAATAAGATGAAAATACTATTTGTAATACTAATTGTATTGTTATTTATCCAACCAATCCTTCAACTGTGTTTTTGTTATTATATAGGATTTACATAGAGCCAACAGTTTGCGCAGCGCTTTACAATTTAAGGAAGACATTACAATCACAATACAATACAAGATCAGATCCTTTGATGTATGGATATTGTTATTTAATGATTTTCTACAGTTTTTATTGAGAGCTAAAGTGTTTCTTTAAAGCCCCACCCCCCCCCCTTTCGGATCCTTGCATACCCGAAAGTGGGTTACTTAACGCTCTTTACAATTTACTGTATTGGGGTGTGAAACCTTGCTCTTTCGATCTTTTAAGTACAGGCCCACTAATGTTAAATAATAGTGAAGAGCTTTGTTAACACACAGGCGGTGGATACATCACCAGCAAGGGCAAATAAAATGCCTTAACAACCCCCAGAATCGATTGGTTTTCCCAAGTACTGCATCCATTTCCCTCCCAAGGAATCTGGGGTGCAGACTCGCATATACACTTAAAATATATAAAATGTTAGTAGTCAGTGTGAAATATTGTTTAAACGTGTCAGTTTTTTGGATTCTTATATTTTTTTTTCTCCCCTTGTTCATGTTTTTGCAAAATGTGTCCAGTATTAAAAGTATACAATTTAAATATGTGAAAGTAGAGTAGTTATTTCCTGCTGGCTAAAGTTTGTGGGGGAATTTAAAAATGTAGTCTGTGTTTATATACAGATAATCATTTGTAATGTCTCGGTCTGTCACTGTACAGGTAAATATAATTTTGTTTTACTCTCCAGGTAGCAGAAACATGTCAACTTGCCATGCACCGGATAGAGTGGCTTCAAGAACATCCTGATGCCCCTGACAATAATCCTTACTCCTCCATAGACCCTGCGCCACCCTCTACAGAAAGAGACATTGCTTCTCTGCGTGATAACCTTTTAAATGATAACTTGCCACTATTTGAACGTTATCGTGCAATGTTTGCACTTCGCAATATTGGCGGGCAGGAGGCAGTCTTGGCTTTAACAGATGGTAAGGCATACACAAAGTTTTTTGTTTTAATTTTCTGTTTCATGACCGCTTAGATAGAGGTATTGCCTGCCACCTTAAAAGGGACGAGAGCATTGCAGAAACCTTTACAAAGTCCCTTCTACCTTAATCTCTGCATTTGCTTTCTTATCCCTAACTGGCTCCTATTGGTAAGGACAAGGCCCAAGCTCAATCTTTCCTCTTATACTTTCTGGGTTGGATGCATAGGACCTCCATGAAGGGTGAGAATCACCCAAGTAGATGACAGTGTCCTGAGATGTAAGTTTCCTTCCTATGACGTCACTCCACTGGTGGCTTCAGTAATGTGAAATTACCCATCTTTCACTTGTAAAAGCGTACCATAACAGGTATTCTTTACACCCTTGGTTCTCAACTGGTGGGTCATGACCCAAAAGTGGGTCGCGAACCCGTGTTCAGTGGGTCGCGGCATGCCTACCACTTTTCTAGGTGAGAGGCTCTTCAGTCTCCCGCTAGCACAGCACTGTCAGTTCTTGCAAAAATCAGCCATTCAGAATACAGTGCCTGGCCCTTGAGGTGGGGTGGGCTGGAGCTATGGCCGCAAGGGAGCTACATCCATGTGTGCATTGCTTACAGCTCCCTTGCATGTCCTGTAGAGGTGCCTGGACCGGAGCGATGTCACATTCTGGCTCCTGACACCTCTGCAGGATGTGCAAGGGAGCTGTACAAGCAATGCACATATAGATGGAGCTCTAGCACAGCAGCCCACACTGGACCCCTGGCTGAGGATCCATTCCAGTTCTCATAGGATAGGGAGACTGGGTGGACCTTAAAAAATAAATTTGTTTTTCTTTTGCTGTGTGTGTCAGTGTTTTTGATGGCCCGTTCACACTAGTACAGTGCGTTATTTGAACAGCTCTGTGCCCGAAAGTAAGACCTAGCACTATCTTCAGGGATTTCTGTAATATAAGACCTACCCTGAAAATAAGACCTATGGGGTATGCGTTCTGGTGCCATTCATTTGAATGGCACACCAAACGCACCTCCTGGCCACAGTTCAATGACCCTAACCGGAAGGTGCGGTACCGCAATGCTGTGCATTCCACTGCAGTGCGACTTGGGTCGTGACTTAATGACCAAGGATGCATGTGGGTCCTGAGGTTACACAGGTTAAGAACTACTGCTTTACACCCTTTGATGCTCTTCTGAGGAAATGGGCATCATTGTACCATGATTTTCCAGAAAATCATTTCAGAAAAATCATTTGGCAGTATAATTGTTTAAAGTCAGTGGGATTGCTTTAAACAATTAACTGGACCTTGTTTTTTCTTTCTCCTTGTTGTCCCGCTCGCCTCTACTTTTCTGCAAGGCATGTTCATAACCTGCCTTTACCTGCATCTTAATTCATTTTCCCCAGTCATCTTCCAGGAGAGCCATCGAGATATATAAGCTCCGCCTGCCTGCAACAGGAAACACATCAACCACATTAAATAAATAGACTCCTCCTTCCATCCCAAGTCAGTTTTTTTGTGTTTCCGTCGGCTACACAGGATCAGTTTATTCTATGGTTTGTCCTATTTTCAAGGAAGTGTACTCTTACTCAAACTGATGTATTGGAAATAAATTTTAGAACTTACCTATGTTCATCAAATCCAACACTAACACTTCTAAAGTTATGTTTTAAAAATACATTGCTTGGTGTTTTATACACTGCTGATTTTATATGCAATCTCATTTTAATTGTCTGCTTTTACTCCTGTCCTGGTTTTTATTTTTATTTTATTTTTTTGCTGGTTTCACACAGGTGTTGGATATGCTTTATACAAATTGGTAGGGTAGCAATATTTGAGTGTCTTCATTTGATTAGTCTCAATTTTTTGTTCTCCTTTCCAGGTTTAAAATGCGGAGGCTCTCTGTTCCGCCATGAAATTGGATATGTATTGGGTCAAATGCAGCATGAGGCAGCGGTCCCAGGGCTTGCGGCAGCATTGGACCTGATGGAAGAGAACCCTATGGTGCGCCATGAGTGTGCTGAAGCGTTGGGCTCTATTGCACGAGAAGACTGTTTAGAAGCACTTCGGGATCATATAAATGATGGGGAACAAGTGGTGAGAGAGAGCTGTGAGGTGGCTTTGGATATGTACAACTACGAGAACAGCGGAGACTTTCAGTATGCATACAGTTTAAACCAAATGCAGGAGCTGGCTTAAGTCATTTCAACATTTTCCCTCTTTCTATACAGTTGGATACAATACTGTTTTTTTGCTTGTGTAATTTTCAATTTTATTCTCTCAGTTGCCAGTCTGGAATACTGGCAGGATACTTTGCACCGAGAACTTTAAAAAAAAATGTATGGATTCCCAGTTTACCTTATTGATTTTAGCATAGTTTATTCCTATATGTGTAGGTTTTCTCTGTAGCATTGTTAACCAATGTATTTTATGCTTCTCTAAAGCCAAATCTCTTTTTTTTACATTATAAATATAGTGACCAGGGGTTAGAATCCCTGTTTAGTTTCTTTAATGGGAAGGTTTTTTTTTGGTCTATAAACTGCATTGTAATTTAAATAGAAAAATAAATTACATAAATAACTGGACAATACCCTGACTTGCTACTCCTAATATTGAAATGGGATACAAAAGAAAGCTTAAAGTATCCACCACAGTTTTGCACAAGTAAATTTTTTTTTTTGTCCCACTGTTTCTGAATAAAACCTTATTAGCCCTTAAAGAAAAGATGACCTTGTTAAAAACATTTTAAAATAACAATGCCACACTTGGCAAAAAAAAATTACCATATACAAAATTGGTAACAATAGGTGTACCCATTGGTATTTTGGATAAAAAAAAAAAAAAAATACTGTATAGCAGGGATCGTGAAGTGTTAAAGATATCTAATCTTCCTCAATTTTCCAACTATAATAGCCGTGATAACATGCAGTATTCCAAAACGAGCACTGGGTTTGCAATATTAAATTCGATGACCCAGATCAAAATGGTACAGCCAGCATTAGGACACCTAATCAGGTAAGTTCAGGACTGGAGTCACAGCAGTTAATCCATCATTGTATATTTCTACCTCCAAAAGAAGAAAATAATGAATGTCCAACACATAGCTCTCCACTCACAGCCAAAGTCAACAGATGGGCTATAGCCGACTGGTATCAATCTGGATAAGCCTGGAGATTGTTGGACATCCTCTAAAATAGTATATAGGCTGACTGATGGTACATCAAGATTTGTAATCCTCAGAAGACATGAAAATGCTGGTCTTGCAAATCACAGTCAAACTGACATATAATTCTAAAGGCTTATATGAGCAAGTGACCAAGTCAATAATGTCCATACATCCCAAAATTAATGAAACATGGTTGGCAAATGTATAGGGCTGCAGCTAATGATTATTTTCATAATCGATTTAGTTAGCCGATTAATCGGATGATAAAAAAAAGGCTCCAGTGATGGACTACTAGTTTCTATTGAGATTGTAGTCCATCACAGGAGCAAGCTTGGCACGGTGGAAGTAAAAAAAGGTGTGGTGTGCAATACAGGGTGTTTAATGTATTATTGCTGGGATTTGTTGTTCCTCTATAGCTGCTGTTGTTCTGCAGTGTGCCGCTGTATTATAGAATGCAGAACACCATGCACAATACAGAATACCAATGTATAATACACCGGCACACTGCAGAACACCAGCAGCTATAGAGGAAAAACAAATCCCAGCAGTAATACATTATGCAGGGTGTTTATTGTATTATTGCTGGGATTTGGTGTTCCTCTATAGCTGCTAATGTTCTGCAGTGTGCCGCTTAAAAAAAAAAAACACAACAGGAAAAAGCTCCTGGCCGATCTCAACTTACTTTGAATGACAGTGTTGTCGGCGGGCAGCGGCGTTGTTGCTTAACGGCGAGTCGGGAAGCTCACCGGGAGGAGAGGGCCAGACGCATGTCCTCAGCGTGCGGTGGGCATGGCTTATGCGGTGGCTGAGGGAGCTCACGGCGAGGAGGACACCAGCGGTGTGGGCATGGCTTATGCAGCGGCGTGGGCACGGCGGGAGCAGCGTGTGACCTCAGGCCGCGTGTGGAGCCCCGAACAGGCTAATCAATGGCCGACGAATCGACGATCGAAAACGTTGCCAACTTTTTCAATCGTCGATTTTAATCGATTAACTGTTGCAGCTCTACAAATCTATGCCACGCAATCCAGCTGTCTAGAGATGTAAATAGGCAGGGGAGATTTAAATGTGTCCCTGTATTGATGAATGTGCTTTCTTTCTCGTACTTTAAAAAAATGTTGGTGGTGGGTACTTGACTTCTCTTTGTCTCGTATAAAAAGTTTTCTTTTATTGCTGTGTTCCTACTAGGGAGATTCCCCCTCTCACATGTGTCCTCTGTCCCCCACTTGCAGTTCCAGTGACAATGGTCAAATCAAAAATTTAGAGTTGTCAAATAAACAGAGGGTAAATCTTTCATTTGAAAATAAAATATTCAGAGACAACTGTTTGTAGAAAGTTTCACTCAGTTCCTGTTGTGTCTACACAACAGGAACACAGAATGGGGGGGGAGACTACAGGGGTTGTAAACTTCCCTTAGATATACTTTAGGGCCGAATTAGGATAACATGCATATATGTTTTATGTAAACAATCATAAGGTATAACTTTATGTTTGAGAGCCCATATATGGTAAACTTTAGACTGGCTATTAACTCTTAACATATATCAAATAATGAAATAAAAGTGCGGCACATTATCAATATATTAAATTAATGAGAGGAGACATGCTGTGTACTTTTTGTGTGTGGGTATAGATAGGTCACCTAGACATTTTCATGGTGTGTGTATGTGGGGGGGTTGTTCTCCACTAAGGTAATATTAAGGTTATCAGATATTATAGCCACTAAATTGACAAAGTCCAACATTGTTTTATTTCTTACAATGTTCTACTTATTTTACTTTAAGCTGGCCATACACTATCTGCAGATTTTTTATGGTCAGATGGAAAAAGTGCAACAGATTCTGCTATCTACACTAAACTCACTGGCGGAACTACCAGGGTCGCAGCGGTCGCACTTGCGACCGGGACCAGGTGTTCCGCCAGTTCGGGGGGGGCCCAAAGAGCGGGGGAGGCCCGCCGCTCGCAGCTACTCATGCTGCCCACGGCGCCGCCGTCTTCACCGCTGCCGCCCGCAGTGTCTTTTGCGGCAGCGGTGAATAGAAGATGTAGCGCTGCGGGTGTGTGGCCTGTCAAGGGGTGACGGCCTTGACGCTTGTCGGGGAACTCCAATTCCCAGCAGGCAACTGAGGAGGGAGCAGCCGAGCACGAGCAGGCCCGGCGGGATACACGCCGCACTGTAGGACGTCCTGGCTTGAGCTGGACCCTGGAGGCACAGAGTTCAGGAGCACAGCTCACAGCACAGAGTGAGGAGATTCTGGAGGAGAGCTGCAGCAGGTCCAGGTAGGCACTGATTGTTCATTGCTGTATATGTGCTGAGTAGTGACAGTGTGCTAACTATTGGCATCCTAGCTGTCGGTTTTTGAAGATGACCAGGGTAAATTACAGCCCACACATTTAGTTCTTCTAGGTATGCTAACTGACTTGTAGGGCATTTTTCTCTGACCTTTAGAGTGAAGCTCTTGCCAAAATGGCTCGAAATGCTTGAGATCTAACCATTGTTCTGGCAATTCCATCATTTGGACAAATGCATTACTCTACTCTATATAAATCCTATATAATAGTAATACTCTGACTTCCTGTTTCTTCACTTACTAGGTCTTCCATACCTTATAAGTATGCCTGAGATCAGTGTCCTGCTGCATGATTAAATTTTCAACTATCAATTGCTGACTACAAGAAATGGCATAATGTAAAATAGCGATTACTTTATTTTAGTTTTATAGTTTATTATTCCTTGCTTTCTATGTAAATCTCAAACCTCACCAAAGAAGTCCCCCATCTCATTGTGTCCTTCAGCATGCAGAGACAGAAAGCATCCTTTCATTTGTGTTACTGCTCACATTGTTTCCTTCTTTAAAACAAATTGTGCTTATCCTTTTTGTTCTCTTCACCTAAGTTAACCCTCCACAAATGCCTACCTCAATTTGATGGGTTTGTTGTTTGTTTACATCCAGTGTTGTGAGTCCTCTCTGCCTTGCTTGGGCATTCTATCCTTATAATTCCATAGGACCATTTTTGAGCCTCTGAGGCCTTGGAACACAACACCATAGAAGTCTGTAGGGCACTTCTATGCAGGCATGGCCAGGACACTAAAGACTTGCGGCGCTGGGTGTAAAACTGCAGTTCTGTGACCATACTATGAAAGGGTTATGGCAAGTGGCTTTTGTTAAAAATTAATAAAAAGAATACTGCTTAAATAATGAATTTGGCAATTTATATGCAAAATATGACAAGTATTTACAATTGGCAAAAGATTGAGAAGAAAAAGAGAAGTTTTAGTGCTTGACAGATTGATTGATTAAACAAATTCCCCAAAATACAAGCAGACTTTGTCCTACTGGCAGCCAAACAAACAATTGCCCACTTCTGGGGAAAAAAACAGACTATACATTACATGGAATTCAAAGAACCTCCTACTGACTCCCATGAGAATCTGGACGTCTTAGATCTCCATTGACCTCCCCTCTCTAGACCAACTGATACTTGCCTTAACATGAGGGTCTTTTGCGTTCCAGTAGGGGCTGTTGTTTAATCACCCCCATTCCTCTCTTGTTTCTGCCCTCTTCTACACTATCCACTAGTTCCTTCCTCCTGAATTTTCCTAGTTCTGCTCCCCATTTCCTCTATTAAACTCATTTACACAACTTGAATTAACACCCACACAACCTACATACATCATACTACACTCAGACAAGGAGCCATTAGGGAAAATGTATTTAATATTTAAAGCTTTATTTTAGGGCTGTTACTGATTAAAATTTTCGTGTTCGATTAATTGAAAAAAAATTTAATCGATTAATTATAATGCACATACAGATCCAACTACATTGGCCATTACGCATACAGCACAGCAATGAAGTAATAAAATGAACTAGGATCACACTAATCCAGCATGTTATTAATCGCACGTGCCCCACTCAATATGGCCGCCGCTTGAGTGGGGCAACTCAGAATAATAACGTGCTGGATTAGTGTGATACAGCACAGTAATGAAGTAATAAAATGAACTAGTATCACACTAATCCAGCACGTTATTATTC